ATATTTTGGGAAATTTCATAATAAAATATTTTTTATTAACACAGCGAAAGGACTTATCATTGAACAACAATTTCATAACAAATGTTGCAAATAAGAAAACGGCAAAAGCAATTAATGCACATTGACCAATGCCAGAAATGGTTTTACAACTTACTAGTATAAAACATTTGTGATAAAACTGTTCTTCAATGATGTTTCTGTTCTGCGATATTTCAACAATTTTTTTCTGTTTTTACTATCATTCCACACGTAGAATTTGATTACTATTGTTTGCCAGTTTTAAAGTGCGTTGATTTTTTTAGTGTTTATATATTTGTATATACCCTATATACAGTGTCGGCATGTCGGATGGCAACTTGCATCTTAAGCGAGACAGATTTTTGCCGTTCTCTGCCTCTAGAATAGCTGTCAATAGAGTTCCTTATAGTGCTGGCATCTTTGTATGAACAATTTATAAACGACTTTATAATATATTTACGGAACTTCAATGTATTCGGCTTATTATTTTTACTTTTATTTATTTTCTTCCTTTATGAACATTTTTGCCGCTTGAGTTAGTTACATTATGTATTTATACTATACTAATATATATACAGTATATACTATACTGTAAAAATTTTATTCTAAGGTTTCCCTACTGCACAAATATCAGTTTTGTTTTGGCAAAATCGATAACTCTCGGCTTAATAAGCTATTTTAAAGACAAATGGAAAATAAGGACAATAATACAAGTCACGTTAAAATATGCATTGATAGACTATTGTATACTGTACACTGTGTATACAATATATATAATATATATATATATATACACTTATATACGGAGCCCTTTTTCTAAAAATTACTGCTGATACACGTACACTGTGACTGAACATACACAATTGTATTTACACAGCAACTGCTGGTATAGCGTACCGGCACCTTCCGGCTGAAAAATAGCCCTGAATATATATATATAACTATCCATTAACAGCAGATTATCAAGTCTTAAATACTGCCAATCAAGATAGCAAATGACTTTCTTGCCGACATTACTAGACAAATTAATCTCAAAGCGAGCGCTTTGCTACTCCATAGCTCAATGGGCCGAACCCACGATAGCTATGATTTAAAAGTGCCTACAGGGCGAAAATAATTATTAAAAAAAGCTTTATCATGTACGTGGTATATACTCGTGTGTGTGTGTATATATATATATATATATTGATATATACACACGTATATCTCAATACGTAGGCCTAAGTATAGTTTATACGACAAACTATACTTAAGTATTGATATAATGATGCTTTAAACGCTAAATGTAATTTTGTTTTTATCATATATCATTTGTAAAATTATCTTACTTAAAATCAATAAATTATTCAGTTTGTTTTTTATTTATATCTATAATATGCGAACAACTCGCATGGCATTACTATTCGAAAGTAGCCTTCATTACACATGCTTAGCATGTTATTAACCCCAGTTAACACAACAAAAGTTTGTTTGTGTTTTTATTTTGTGAAAAAATTATCTAATGTCGAATTTTTTATGATTTGTTTTTATTTTATGATATCCAAACTTATCTTAAACTACATAATATCTAGTGTTATAAAAAGTAGACAATATTATGTCGCAAGAGGGGAAAAAAACTTTGTCGCCATTTTCTTTATTTAATTCATAAACTTTCATTTATATTCCATTATTTTTCGTTACAAATTTAAAAATATATTCTAATGAAGTAGTTTAAATGTAAAATATGTAAAATAACATTAATGTTAATTATTTTTTTAATGTCTATTCTAAGAATAATTTTCTGTATGTGGTTCGGCTTTACTATTTAATTAATAAAAAATAAATGATCAAAAATGGGATTTTCTTAATATATTAATTCAATACACTTTTGTGACGTCAATGTCATAGCAATTATTCAAAATTTTCCATTTCGAATGAATCGCGATTCAAACTATTAATAACGCTTAACAGAAATTTTTAATTCTCGGAATTAATTTCGAAGATGTCAATCAGAAATGTCGACTGCAAGGTCAACTATTGTCAAATCGTGTCAAACTTAAAATTCCAGATACAATAGATTTTTAATTATTTGGCCTCGTTCGTATATAAAACTATTATCTATTGTCATCAACAGATGGCGCCAATATGCATATTTATTTATTTAAAAAGAAAAGCATAATTCATGAACAACCTTTAGAAAAACCTGTATATGAATAATGGAAGAGAAGAAGATGAATAACCTTTTAGAGATGGAAAATAAATAATTTTATAAAAACTAAAATATTTTCCTGTAATTCAATTACATTTCTCACATTTATCTTAATTTGTATATACATAAATAAATATATAGTCTATATTTATAATTATCTTATAATGTAATTATTATTGAAATGATGGAACGTCATGCATTCAATTTTATCATTTATATTTTTCGTAATAATTATAAACGAAATGGTTATCCATTTATGTAAACAAACATATCCATCTTGTTCATATGCTGTACTTAAATCTAAACAACTGGATCTGTTCTCAACGAAAATGATTAGATAGGCCAACTATTGTTCTATGCTATACATTTAAAGGTCGATAGTCCTTTTATAGACACAATTAGATACAGAAAAATAAAACAATATGTCTTAAGAACAGGAGTGAACGTTCTATAATACCAAAGATTACAACCTTGTAAAAGAACATTTTCTTACTCTATCATCATTAAGATGTACATAAGTAATTTTTTAAAAAAATGTACAAATTTAAAATTATAGAAAATATGTATTGTTGTATTAGCTTACGCGATTATAATAGCACGCATCTTTGCATATTCAGAAACAACTAGATTTGTGACCTTTATGCAAATAGATATAATATTTATTCAGGTTTTATAAATAGAAATAAAATATAAAAATGTATAGGAAAAAAATATTAGTATTTATCTATTGTAACAAAATATTTGAGTAATTTTGAGAATTAATCGAGCATTGTAGTTTAGATAATGCAGAAAAAATTATTCGAAGTCAAACCCTAAAACAGTCACTTGTTAGAAGATTTCGAATTTTATCTTTCTTTTAAAAATGTCAAACTTCCTATTTCCGTATTTAGAAAATCTAACATTTATATTTAACTTTCTTTACTGTAGGAAAGTTATTTTTATGTTTGGACCTTGGCCCTTTACAACATCGTTTTGTAGGAACCAAAGTAAAGAAACGAGAAAAAGAGTCGTGTACATACCATAATTTGAAACGGAAAAAAAAATTACAAAAAAAGAAAAAAAAGGAATTTTTTGTTAGAAATTAAAATTAACTTTCAATCTAACATTTAAAAATATGTTTAAAACTTGAAAAAATTTGATTAAAGTGATAAGTAAAGCGTGTCGGTTTGTTTATTTTTTTTTTTAAATTTAAGACATTTATTACTCGTTGTGCTATATTTCCTCGAGTATGTAGTGATTACGATATTGACTTTTTAATCTTTTGTTTTTCCTAAAGGAAAATATTTATAATGGGAAATGTTTTAACGAATTATTTTTTCCTTTTATAAACAATTGTTCTTGAGAAAATCCTATGACTGAATGACGTAAAGATTACAAGCAAGCGCATTACTATCGGAGAAAATCGATTTAAAGTACTGTATGTGTACACTTTAACAATACTACAAACACCAAAATCAAGGTCAAAGAATATTTTGACCGTCAAATTTGTCAACAAGGACAACATTTAACATATCATAATTGTCACTGTGTACAGTACATTATATATATATTTAAATATATTTTAACTGAAGGAAATTAATAGCTTTAATGATTAGAAATCAACTTCCTTGTGTAATAAATACAGAAAATGCGTAAACTTTATTATTATAATAACAGATTTGATCATTTTTTTAATAAATTGCTCATGGTTCCGCTTAAAAGATGACAATTTTGTGCTAATTACTACATTTACAAATGGAATAATTATTAATGCTAAAAGTGGAGAAGTACTGCTGTCGTTCTGTTCTATGACAAATGGAACATGTTGACATTTTGACGAAGCTACTACCGTAACCTAGATAAGCAAGAAAGCTGTTTCATCACGTTCGGGAATTAATCAATTGAAAGGAAAAATTTCCTTGGTTATCGAGAAAAAAATGACAATAATAATGTGAATTATCAACATTTTTTATTGATTATATCATTATTATTATTGTTTATATAAATGCATCTAGAGATACTATCAGAGAGTTATTTTAACAATAGAAATAATTTGAATATTTATTTATTTTTAACATAATTTAAATGTTTACCGTTATAAATATTAAAAATTTTCTTATTTTTAAAGAGCAAATTCGATGTAGCATCAGGATTCAAATATTTACATTGCGTATTTCGTACATTTATCGAGCAAAAACATATGTTGCATATGGCATATGTAACATTCTTTTCTGTAATTGTTCAGTATATAACTTATGATTTTATTCTAAAATTTATGTGATATAAGGCTATAATGAACTCAAAATCAACAAAATACTTCAGAATACAGTGCTATTATTTTTGAATTTACTAAGCAATCTTCCTGAGTTTGCTAGACTCGCTCAATATTTATTTTATATTTTAATTTACAACTCATTAAATATATTTTTATTATAAAGTATTAAAAATTCAATATTCTAATTACAAAAAATCATTAGCAGATGTTGAAAACATATACATTATAGGCTATTTAAAAAAGCAGTTAGGTGATGTATATAATATTAAATTAAAACTACTGAAATTTTAGAATGATATTCGCTGAATGACAAATACATTTATAGTAATAAAAAATTATTTAATTAAAGATGATCATTTAAAAATTTAATCATTATAATTAAAAATATTAGCAGTAAACGAGAATAAGAAACTGCTAGCGTTGTATTAAACCGATCGTTTTCTAAATCAAACGTCCTTGAAGATCTAAAACATCGATACAACGAAATAATACACTTTCCTTCCGATTATAACAATGCAAGTGCTATTATAGTAATAAGAATATGCCGAACGATTAATCATATAAAAGTTCTACAACGGGAAGATGCCAGGAAAAAAATATCTTGTTATATTAATTCCATAGTTTGTCCCTTATAGTAGTAATAATTCAAGGTCAAATCGTGTCAACGTGACTTATGTGTATCATATTTGTGCCCTTAGGTTATACTTATGAACTGAACTAAACAGTGATGCTCTAATAAACAAGTAATGTATGCTCTATCATTCTTAGCGATATCGTTAATCAAATAACTTGTCTTATCGGGAATGTGTTTAAATAAATTGATATTCTATCACTAAGTTGCTTTGATCTACAGTACATTAATTATAAGGAAAAATATTATTATTATTAAAAAAAAAAGTTTCGCCCTTTAAATTATGGTATAAACCAGTCATTTGTCCTTCTTGCTAATGAATTTCTAATAATAAACTTGATTTATTTATTTTTTTGATAATCGAGTCCGACTGCTTAGGTTTATTTTTATTTTTAAGGCTATCGGGACAAAAATAACATCTAAGGAATTAAAATTTAAGAAAGAAATTTACGGATTTGCCTTCGGGTCTTAAAGTAGAATAGAGGAAACGGGACTTGAATTAACTCCAAATGCAAGAAATAGAGCAATTTGCAATTAAATCTTGAGGGTATTTTGTATTCTATCTTTTCTAAGACTATCTATCTTCGGGCACGTTGCCTCGCACTAAATTTAATCAGCTGAATTTAATAGTCGTGATTACTTTATTGTGTTCTGTACAAAAAGAATTCGAAACTTCTTGCAATTGCATTTCTCTGCGTGCATTCTGCTATAAATCGCCTGATAAGTAAGTTCTTAAGAGGGCCTTCGAAAATCAAGCCTGAATTAATTCGACCTAAATTCTGAAAGGCATAGAAAAAAAGAGTATCTGGAATAACCCAGCATTTTCGAGAAATAAATATATAATTTATTTATTTATTTATTATTATTATAATAATAAATTAAACATCATGCAATCTAGTTATTAGAGAATAAAACTGTCACTTTTTTCTTATCTATAATGAATTGCCAGATGAACTTGACCATTCCACTGATGCATTTCCCTACTTTCTTAAGTATAGAAATGCATATTATCGATCTACAATATATTATTATCGCGAAATGACATTTAATATTATTCATTCTGTGCTTTATATAGTTGCAGAAGTTATTAAAGATGCATTTGCTCTAGTTTTATTTTCGAGTATAACGACACGTTTCAGTAGAATAAGGTCAAATATATAAACATAAGTCGCGTTGTTTTAAATGGTAAATCTATGGAATGAATAATTTAACTTTTATTTATTTATAACAATCACGTTATATGCGTTCATGAAGTGATTCGATTGAACTATCACGTAGTTACTGAACAAATTCGGGGTTTTACATTTGCCCTATCACGTGTTCGTAAAGTATGTGTTCTAGAACTAATAATGTTCGAATTATAAAATAATAATTTATTTTAAAAATCGCCAATGAAAAATTATAAAAACTATTTAGAATAAATTATTACTGTATTAAATTTTTAATTTATTCTTATAAAATAAACATTTTTTAAGCATTCATTAATGAACTTGTTTTTTTTAATGTTATTAAACTTAGTATATTTTTATATATCCCGTTCGTATATCAGAACAAACAACCTCGCTGATCGATAATGACGTATTATAACCGCGAGCAATCGAGTACTCGTGTACCGAGAGGAACGAGAACGTCCTTTTGAACTACGTCATCAATAACGTAACGTATTATTGGATAATGGGATTGTAAAGGTAAAAAATTCACCCAATTGGTGGAAATATTTGTGACGTTTGGGATTAGATAATAACAAGCAAAAGCGGCAGAAGCAGCAGACGAAGGAAAGCCAGCGGTTTCGAAGGCGAATAAAAAAAAAAAAGTAAAAAGAAATATGAAAGCAGAGAGAGATTTAGGAGATTATTGGACCAGTCCTAAAGTTGTTGTGAGTAATTATTATTAAACAGTAATTCTGTATGTTGTATTTGGGGATGGAGTTCGAGTTGACAAATGTCAGTTCTGTCAGATTGCCAACTGATGATGATGATGTTGGAGGCTTATGATGTTTACTCTTTTGTTAGAATCGACTGTAGAGTTTATACGTGAATTCTTCGCTTTGTACTTGCACTGATATTGACATATCGTAATTCAATCGAACGTGCAAGCCGTATAAGTAAACAAGGAAATTAAACAGGTTAAAGGTTTATAATGAATTAAAATATAAAAATTATTTTGAAATGAGTTGTGATTTATTCTACCTCTGTCTTATATTTAAGCATAAAAATCAGCAAATTTAAATTTTCCTCCAAGAATAGTAAATTAAATCTTGCTTCGATTCAAAGGTTAAACATGTATACTGTATTAAGTTAGTACTATGTTTATACATATAGTAATTAACTTTTTTAGATAAATGTAAATCATCTTGGATTAGTTTAAAATGCTAAAGTTTATTTATAAATTAATTTAGTATTTAATATTAATAACTGCATTTACTAATGATCAGTTAAAGTTGTTTATGTATTTATAAACTACTATATATATTTTTTTCTTTTTAGCTGAAATGTGTCGGACCGAAATTGGTACCGTTTTTTAAAACTGCGGCCGTATATTTTGTTCTGTCGATTCAACGAGAAAATCCGTCGTGGCTCTCTTGCTTACTGAAATGCCTACCGGTGATATGGCTGTGTATTTTTGTTGTCCTGCACGGCATGAGTCTGGGAGAGAAGCACGCTTACTCTCGCCGTATTCTTTCGGGCCTGATATTCTCGTGTATTGGTGATGCATTTCTCGTTTGGCCGAGCTGCTTTTTGTGGGGTATGATATCGTTTGCCATTGCACATATTATATACATTAGTGCATTCGGTATGCATCCTTGGAATCCTGTAGTTGGAATGGTTTGTTCTGTTTTAGCAGGGATTTGCTATTACATTTTTTATCCTGGTTTGTATGGTAAGTTAAATTTTTGTTTCAATAGTACTTATGAAATGTATTTTATATTTTAGTACTAAAAATAACTGTTTTCTCTTATGATAGTAATATTTTCATTTCTTGTATCATTAAAATAATCTTTCTTTTTCGATAGTTTATAATAAAATGTTAATTGTTTAAATATTGATAAAATTGATAAGATAACTTCTGAAACAAAATATTTGTTTAATAAATTTATCATTTCTTTAAATTTTTTTAGTTGTGACTATTAACAATACAGTATTTTAATTAATTCTTAATTATTAGTGTATAATATTTTCTTTATCGAAAAGCGGTTACCAAAATCCTTATTTCTGTGATAAAATTTTATATAAAAAAAAGTGAAAGCTTAAAATTTAAAGTTTAAAAGAAAATTTATTAACTAACCATAAATAACTGACCTATTTAGTTTTATCTTTAGTTAATTTGAAAAATATAATTGATAACTTAAGCAATAATAATGATTAGTTACATTGCTTGATTTTTTAGGTTGAATGAGTAAAAATAAGACCTTGTCACTATTATTAATATATAAATAATTTTAATAACATTTAAAATTTTATTTTTTTTGTACGTTGTTTTTTGTAAACTAATATTAATTTGATATAAATAGGGATATATACAGTAAGTGTTCCCATATACATATTTGTGCTTTGCCTTATGGTTTGGAGAGCAGTTGCAAGAGTTCAATTCTTTGAAGATCTTTGGACTTGGACCAGATTGTGTTCTTGTGGAGGTGGTATTCTATTTGCCATTTCTGATACTTTAATTGGTTTCAGAATATTCTGTAGTCAAACTGCAATTCCTCATGCACAGACTTTGACAATGTTAACTTACTACGCTGCCCAGTTAGGTATAGCATTGTCTGTAGTCGACAGTACGGCAATGGCCGTTCTGAGTGCCGCAAATGAAAATCAGAATTCATGTTGTGGTACTATAAAACAGAATACTCTACAGTTAAAATCATTAAAGCAAAGATTAATTTTAACTGGAGGGGAAAGAAATGGTATAAGACGTGCAGCCGTAAAACTACATTAAAAATAATGCATGGCATTTCATTCATTAAAAATATGAAATGCCTACATTATTTTTTTTAGATGTAACAATCTCCCAGATTGGGAATAAAATATCTTTATTGTATCATCCAATTAGGATGTAGAGAAAAATATATATATTTCGGAACATGATAAAAATCATTCCGAATTCACGTAGCTACAGTATTTCCAACACTAAACAGTATTATTTCCGAAACAAGTTTAATAAAAACGATAAAATTTAATCAATTACCACCAAATCAATAAAGTGCCAAATCATACATAAAAGAGAGCATTTTAAAATTTTTGGAATAAAGTAAACTTTGAGGAAATAATTAAGACTTATTGGCTTTAAAGATCTGGTATAAAGATGTGACGATTAAATGCACAATTATATTCTCTTTAGTATTTGTATTGACAACTTGATCAAATAAATGTTTAAAATTTGTTATTCATTAAAATCTTTTTCTGTATTTTGAAATGCAAAACAATTAAAAAAAGATATATTAGAAATCTGTATTGTGAAGTAATAATTGATGAAATTATGTAAAACACTTTAAGATGTTATCTGTAATATTTGCATATTTAATGTCGTTCATTAATATACTCCTGTATAACAATATTAATTAGTCTAAATTTTATACATTCCATTATTATTTTTTAGATATTGTATATAATGCAAAACAATATATTGTATTTACAAGATGTGGACTTAAGCAGATAATGTTAATACTTTTCTCTCCCCCCAGTAAAGCAATAACTGAAATTGGGATGTATAAATATTTATTGTTAAAAATAATAATAAAAAACTCTAAATAGTAATTATTTGATATTTCTGTCAAACAGAAATTTGTCTTTATATTTAATTTTTTGTATGTTACTGTTTGAGAAGATGATTATAATTAAAGTATCTTGTAAATGATATATTTAATAATTTCTTTGGAACTTATTTATAAATTCTGATCTTAAAAATTCTGTAAAGACCTTCCTATCTTAACTTAATTATTGTTTAATATGAAGTTTGAGGCACATGCAAATTAATTTACACTTTTTAACTTTTCTAAAAAAAATGAAAATTTTTTAAATTTTTGAAATATTTGCAAAGATTTTAAACATGTAAATCTTTTGCATAATCAATATATAAATCAATAATTAAGCTTTTTATAATTTATTTTAGTAACTAAATAGAATTTTGTCTGGATTACTATATAATATATTTAATAGAAATTGATTGTGAAAGTTCATAGATTTAAAAAAAACGTAAAACAATAAATTCTATAATACATCAGAATCTGAAATTTCCATGTGTTATTACAACTTAAATTTTTGTGCAATTGAATGTTATTTACTATTTATTGTAATATATTTAAGATTTCACTCATATTTGTTATATATGACTCTTTTAAGAATTTAAATGTTAGAAAATAGAATACTGGATGTAAAGTTTTACATTGTGATTTTATAAAACTGTAAAAATGCAAAAAATTGGTGTAAATAAAAGAAATAATTTAATTTCTTTTTTCCCTTTATTATTAAAAATCATAAATATGTTATTTGTAAAATACTTTATTCACAAATTATTGTACAAGATAAATATTGAGATGATATACTAATTTTGAATGAATTAAAAATGTCACATATCAAAGACAAATTTAATGTAATTTCATCTGAAAAATAGATATGGTTTAGGTCTACTACTTGGTATGGCTCCTTTTAACCTTAATTTCCTAATGGCTTCACGAAGATGTTTAGGATGCAAAGGGCCTGTTTCTCCATTGTTCTCCATAACATCCAATGCTAATAAGAAAAAAAAAATTCATTTTTGAGTTTGTTTTAATTATCTTATTTTCTACACAGTATTATATTAATAACAACAAACCAAAGACTTAACACCATGGTACAATTTAACTGTTATTTATAAAATGTATTTGTTATTTATAAATTGTTTTCTTGTTTTATTTCAATTTATATTTCATTTTTGTAATTATTTAAAACAAATCTGTATGAAAAATCAAATGCAAATTACAAAATTAATGAAACATTATATTATTAATCTGTTCCAAGCACATGAATATAATGATGTATAATCAAAAAGCACTAGTTATAATTGTTTTTTCCTTTTTTCTGACATGTACAACACAAGTTTTCTGCTAAACAGTGCATAATAATATGTAAAGTTTTAAATCTTTTAATATTTAATTTTCAGTTATCATCTAATTATTATTGAGCAAACTTCTTTATTCTTAAAATTATGATATGAATATTCTAAATTCATACATTATTAATAATTTGGCTATTTGCTATGGAAATATGCCTGACAGACAAAGCATTATTGATTTTTGCTTGACAAGAATATTTTAGCTTTACAAAAGCTGAGATTTTCTCAATTGTGAAATATTCAGTTTTAAAAAATTAATTAATACTTTTAATTTAAAGTTGTGTAATTATTTTAAATTCATTCATATATAAAATCTTGTGAATAAAAATCATAAATCCATTAATAAAATTTAAAACAAATTCTACATAAAATTTTTTTTGTATATGATGAACTATTTTTTGTATTGTTTTGCATTACATGTAAAGATTAAACAAACTATTTAAGATATTTTTTATATGTAAAAATTAAGATTTAAATGAATTAATTGAACAACAAATAATATATAATAAATTAAAGCTGTAGAATAGTTGTTATATCATGAAATACCAAATACCTAAATAAATTTTATATTGCAGCATATCAGGCTCTTAATTATTCTTTAATCAAATAGAATGTTAAAAAAGTTTAAAATATCTTGGCATAAAAAAAGCAATCTAAATTTATCTTTTTTGACATTTAATAACCTGTAGCTCTGGAAAAATTGAATATGATGAAACATCAAACACTTTTGTAACCTCTTTTTATATTTTTCAATTGCAAAATTTCACAACCAGATATGATTACAATTTTTTACGTATGCTAATTAAAATTAATTAAAAAAAGATATATTAGAAATCTGTATTGTGAAGTAATAATTGATGAAATTATGTAAAACACTTTAAGATGTTATCTGTAATATTTGCATATTTAATGTCGTTCATTAATATACTCCTGTATAACAATATTAATTAGTCTAAATTTTATACATTCCATTATTATTTTTTAGATATTGTATATAATGCAAAACAATATATTGTATTTACAAGATGTGGACTTAAGCAGATAATGTTAATACTTTTCTCTCCCCCCAGTAAAGCAATAACTGAAATTGGGATGTATAAATATTTATTGTTAAAAATAATAATAAAAAACTCTAAATAGTAATTATTTGATATTTCTGTCAAACAGAAATTTGTCTTTATATTTAATTTTTTGTATGTTACTGTTTGAGAAGATGATTATAATTAAAGTATCTTGTAAATGATATATTTAATAATTTCTTTGGAACTTATTTATAAATTCTGATCTTAAAAATTCTGTAAAGACCTTCCTATCTTAACTTAATTATTGTTTAATATGAAGTTTGAGGCACATGCAAATTAATTTACACTTTTTAACTTTTCTAAAAAAAATGAAAATTTTTAAAATTTTTGAAATATTTGCAAAGATTTTAAACATGTAAATCTTTTGCATAATCAATATATAAATCAATAATTAAGCTTTTTATAATTTATTTTAGTAACTAAATAGAATTTTGTCTGGATTACTANTATAAATAGGAAATTAGGAAATTATATTACATTCTAAACTTTAGGAAATATATTTTTCCTAAAAACATAAAAATTGTTACAGATAAGAAAAAAAATACAATTACATTCTAGCATTTTGTTTTTATTGTTTTTAACTTTATAAGTTTCCTACATACGTACATTATATATGTATATATATATTATTAAGAACTGTATATATAATTTCAGAAACATTGCTTATCAAAATGAATGGTAAAATTTTTGTGTCTTTTTTAATTATAACACAATGAGTTTTATAGAATTTATATCATTAGATTTGTAAAAATTCAAGTACTGGATTTATTAGCCTACATTTTGCTCAAGGCATTCGGTTCTTTCTAGATCTATTTTTATTATTTTTCAGCAAAAGATAGGTTCAATCTCTAATTCACTTAGTTTCATTCTCCCTCCATTCATGTTGGCTATCTGAAGAACTGAAGGACTAACATTTGAGTAGAATTAGTTTTTTAAAGTGATATGAAATGTCTCAGCTATAAAATAGAATCCAATAAAATAACTTAAAATATGATTGTCTGTACAAAATCTTATCAACATTATAAAAAAAAGGTTGCCATAAGTCTTAACACCATTTAAATCAAAGAAAATTGTCTAGTTCTTGAAAAAAATTATGAGAAGTCATACTTCAGAATGTAATGAAATATTATATAAGAAAAGTTGTTTTAAATTATTCTATATAAAGAAAACAGAAGTCAACAAAGCTCAAACTTTAATAATTTAATATGGAAAAACAATATAAACATCATATAATTTCTTTTATTTCTAAACCAGAATTAACATTTTGAATTAAAATTTGTATGTATTTTTTAAATCTTGAGTTAAATTTAATAAAAAATAATAGCAGCTTGTTTATAGTAGTCAATCCTTTAAAACTTTCAAAACATTTTTGATGCATCTATAATTCCATTTTCATAAATTTTAAAATTTTACAATAGACTTTGAATGTCAAATATTTGAATTTTTAAAACCAATTACATATTCTATTCATTAATATTGAAGTTAGTTGGTTAATTTTCACAAATTTAATAAAGATTTATTGTTCAAAAAACTTTTTACATAAACTTTACTTTCAAAACTGATAAAGCTTTAAGACCTGATCTAATTTAAAATATTAAGTTTATTGTAAAAATTTTATTTCAGATTTTATGTTTTTTTATGTCTAGAGTTTAAATTTGCATTTTCAAAACATTTCACAAATTTTTCTTAGGTTAAAATATTCTAAACCTATCAAACTGAATTTTATAAATGTAAATCTTAATATCAATTTATTAGATTTGTTAAAATGAAATATCATCAATTACAACATATAGAATACATAACTAAAAAATATATCTGAAAAGGAAGCATAAATGCACCAAAGACAAATAAAAAAATTGGCTCTTAAAAACGATTATCAATATTTATCGGATTAAATTTATAGTTACATTTTCAAATATCTGTAAACAAGTAATTTTAAACCTATTAATAGTAAATGAAGTACTTAAATATAATATTTAAAACTAATACAATAAAATCTTTCATAAATTATATTTACAAACTCAGGAAAAGACATATTAAAGAATTATTATATTTAAGTTTCATTTATAAATCAATTGCATTTATAACAGAAATAAGTTTATATAAAAATTTATTTTTATTGATTAATTAATTTTACTTTATTTATTTATCATTCTGGTTTTACTCATGAAGCAGGGAGTATAATTATATTTATACAACAAAATTTTATTACAAAAGTAAGTATAATAAGCTATACAATAATAAATAATAATTATAAAATAAACAATGAATCAAATAATCACATTCATTGGGAGAATTAAATTAGTTTTATAATCCTTATTAATTCTACACGAGAAGCAATTCATCCAATACATCAATATTTATGAAATGGAAAGACTTCATAAATATTGAATTTGAAAATTAAAAATTTGAAAAACTTATTTCTTAAATTTTATTAATCAAGTGTTATAAATCTTCAGTTTCTGAATATTAAGAATTCATTTATTTTATATTGTTTACATTCTAATTTAAATTTTATTTAAAGGATGACTCACAAATATAATACAGTAGAACCTCGAAAACTCGGCCTAATGTGGACCGAAGGGTGGCCGAGTTTGTGAAAATGCCGGGTTATCGGAAATGGGGTTAAAAAAAATAAGTACGAGTGTTTCCTCAGAAAATACTGTACTGTACTTGTATGTATTGTTTACTTGAGAATATAACAGAGAATAAACTGCCCAAATACCCTTAAACAAAGGAAAAGTACGTCCTTTATGAAGGCATAGAGCCTTTACTACATGAAAATAAAAATTAATGAATACACTGTGTACAGTAATTTACCTGATAAGACAGACCTCAGAAAAATACTTTATGAGAGCTTTTATACTTTTGTAAAGCTGTCTATAATGAAAATTAATTAACTAAGGATTTTTTTTGCCCTGCCAGGGTGTGGCCAAGTTATCTGGAGTGCCGGGTTATCGAGAGCCAAGTTTTCGAGGTTCTACTGTATTTAATTATTGATGCAGAAAAATTTTGAGCATATTAAATTATCAATATTAAAACAGTAAAGCTAAAGGTGCAATTTTCCCTTAACCTTTTTGAATTCTTTGAAGGTTCAAATGAAGATGAAACAAATTTTCATTTATTAAATAAGCTATATTATTACCATCAAAATACAAATTAAATAGATACATTTTTTAAAATATTTATTTATTCATACATTTAAGTGTAATATNAAAATAAACAATGAATCAAATAATCACATTCATTGGGAGAATTAAATTAGTTTTATAATCCTTATTAATTCTACACGAGAAGCAATTCATCCAATACATCAATATTTATGAAATGGAAAGACTTCATAAATATTGAATTTGAAAATTAAAAATTTGAAAAACTTATTTCTTAAATTTTATTAATCAAGTGTTATAAATCTTCAGTTTCTGAATATTAAGAATTCATTTATTTTATATTGTTTACATTCTAATTTAAATTTTATTTAAAGGATGACTCACAAATATAATACAGTAGAACCTCGAAAACTCGGCCTAATGTGGACCGAAGGGTGGCCGAGTTTG